TCTGAATTTTATTCATAATCCCAAAGAAAGGTACTCAGAATAATATAACACAAGTAGCATCTGCTGCCTCGAATGCTAGAGACATTCCCGTTTTAGGACACGTTGGTACATCTGTTGGCCCAACGACCTCTTGGCGACTACTCACATAGTTTCCTTTTTTCCGGAAATATTGAGGCTTGCATGAATATAAAGCTTAAATTAATATATATCATAAGTTCTGGGATGTGGGATGAAAAGTCCTTTAGGGCCAGGGAACATTTCGGTGAACTGAATTAATAGAAAGATTTTCGCCCTGTGACGTATACGTCGGGGCAACGTGTCGTATACATAACATGTGGTATGGGTATGAAATTGGTTTTACTCGAGAAGCGAAAGTTTTCACCTATAGCCTTAAAAGTTATGTACTTAATGCAATTATCGGTCTAAACAAATATAAACACCCACACCAACGTCTCGGAAGACGGTCCAGTAAAAAGTTGTAGAAGTTTTCTCTTCGGGGAAAAGTTTTTCTTTTGAGTCACGACAGGAGATTAGGTAACCTAAGGCATTTACCCAGCGATCTAGACGCAGATGTGGTCGACATAAATGACGCTTAGCCCCACAGGCGTTTTGATTACTAAGGATGTGGGATGAAAAGTCCTTTAGGGCCAGGGAACATTTCGGTGAACTGAATTAATAGAAAGATTTTCGCCCTGTGACGTATACGTCGGGGCAACGTGTCGTATACATAACATGTGGTATGGGTATGAAATTGGTTTTACTCGAGAAGTTCTGGTATTGACCATCAGCTGCAAATTACTCCGATTATTTGTGTCGTTTCTGTGTCCATTTCGGCCCTTTGTTATATTAATTTTTGTCGTGCCCGAATATTCCACATACTTTAGTCCTGTCAGCTGGATTTATGCTTCTGACATGCTCAGAAAGAGAAACCTGTCAGGCATGCACTAACAATGCAACATCACAAATTTTCAGTGTCAGCTCGGCACAGAAATCCCTCTAAATGAGTATGAAATTTAGATAATACAAAACGAGATATCCTACGGTGTCAACACAGAGCGCATATCCAGCACTGACAGCTTCCCATGTCACGTAGCATTGAATGACACGAGAAATACACAAGTCGTATATGTATGAATGTATGGACGGTAGTGGAAAACAGTCATCTCTTTTATTCAGTTCACGTGTAACAAATGAACAAGTTCATTAAGTGCAGGAAGCCGTCGGCTGGAGGATGTAAAGAGGGGCTGCTCTACAGGGTCAATGTTTATGCAGTCATTAAAGTCCATAAAGAGCGCTACAATATGCAAACTGAGTAGGCCCATGTGGCGCCCCTTGCAAGGCCACATTTATGCTGATTAAACCAACGCAACTTGAGGCATCTGGGTCTGGGGTCTGACGGCTAAGAGCTGGAGTCGCTTCCTTTTGAATGCCAACAGGAGTGACAGCTGCTCCCGTCCAACACAAAGGACACTCGTGCTCAACAATACTCGTCCTGCCACGGGGTCGCATATTCTTACAACTTATTGACTGAATGGTACTATAGTAGAATGGTGATTGAGTTTATTAAAACTCAAATACCCCAAAAAAAGCTACTTCTGTGTGCATATATTACAATTTAAATAAAGTTATTACCAATAGATTTGACAGGATTTAAGTAGTAACAATAAAATTTTCAATATTCATACTCATGGCAGAAATTCTTTATTTTAAAAACATTTTCAGTAGTTCAGTAGTTGCTTTCTTCTCTTATTTTCATTTCATGCATAAACCAAAATCACATTTCTGGAAATAATGCGATTTCAGTAGTTGGGCTTTGTATTTGCCAAATCATCGAAGTTTATCAAAATATCAAGCTAACAAATTTACACAAATTCCAGAGAAACTATTTGCTCAAAAGGGCAAAACGGCTACCATTGTTTTGAATATCTACAGGTGAAGCAAGGCCATGAAACCAAAATGTTTATACAATATACACAAAAACAATACAGCATTTACTAAAATAACTTAACAACGACATGATTACTAGCCTTTTCTACGAGAATAAATAACCATTTTAATTGAAAAGGACATTTAAGACCTTTTTCGATATTAAGAGCTCAGTTTCAACAAAATATATATTAAAGAAAGATGGTTCTTAGCACAGTGTTTCTAACTATATGACAGAAAAATATTCCTCAAACTAAACCGGAAAGTTGAAGAAAAACTTTATGGACAAGAGCTAGATTTTTCATTTTCTTTATCATTATACGGGCAGCCTCTTGTGTCCTTCTAATACTCGTTCACATATGCATCCCGTTTGCGTGTGCGCCATATTAATTATCCAGTAGGAACGAGCATAATAAAAAGTTAGACACATGCTCTAACTTTGGATGAAACTGGAACTCAGATAAAAGGTCAACGCTCGCCTCTGAATTGATTGCGTGCATTTGCGGTAAGGGGTCCCAAACAATTGGATTTTTGTCTGAAGCTTATTTAGGAGGAATAGAAGGCAATCAAATACTCTTTGGTAACGATAAAATCAACTTATGATTAAATTTGAAAGTTTTTACCGCTTAAATAGGTTTAACATTTAAGATTCGGCATGCTTTCATTTTGTCATGGCTTAATGCCACCAAAAGCCGCATAGAAACTTTTATAAGCCTCGGAGGAAAAAGGGTTTTCTAAAGCAAACTCGATATGAAAATTGGCATGAAAGTTGGATGAACTTACCCCTAAACACACAAAATATTGATTTTAAGGTGACTTAGTTGGTTTTATGGTTTAAGAACTGTTGCTTCTTTGGTTAACGGCTGAAAGTTTTTATATCGTCTCGTTTATATCTAGCAAACTCACATCACAATGAACTTTGGGTTTTCACATCGTCGGAACTCTTGCCGCCGGATTATAAATCGAAACAAGGACCTAATTTTTGTGATTGTCGTTGGGCTTTCTCAAAGCCACTAATCTTATATACGTTTTGTATAACTGTATCGATGTTCAGATTAAATAATTTATTATTTGGCCTGTACTTGGCTAATCCTCTCCTCAGCTTCCGTTGCTGATGCTGTTGTCTTCTCCGCTAGGATGTCGGTCATTGCTTCGTTGGGTTGGAACTGAGGCAGGGTCCTGCCTGGCGCTCGTTTTTATTGGCCGCCATTTGAAACTCACCACGGAGACATGCTGGCTGCCGCCATGCGCTTGAAAGGATACAAATATTTACAGGTGCTCTGAGGTCTTGCGGGTGGTGGGCTCTCCAGGCAAAGCTCTGGCCAAGTTTTTCACACTGAGAATAATTACCAATTATACATTTTTTCCAAGTATAAAAGATGAATTGGAATAAATATCAAGTATGGGAGAATAAAACTATTTTATTTAATATAACATTTTGTTAAATTCTTTTGGGTTAGGTATTTTTTTATACTAAATGAATATTATATGGTCTTGACAACCCTGTTTAATATTTTGGTATCTCCTTTTTTATGTCTGTCTCTCTCTGCGATGGAAAAAGCTTTCCGACGACAACGTGCACATGGCCAAAACCAGAGTCCTACAACTTTACAACTGTGGTGAGTTACAAGCGTAGTGTTGAAGAAGAAGCGGAGAAGGTCGAGATAACTTCGGCTGGCCAAAACAACAGAGCCGAAGGAGACTGGCAGAAGCAGGCCAAAGGATACCCCCCAGAGAAGGTTGAGGCGAAAACAATGCAAACAAAAATTTGCGCTTTTACGAGCAGCGTAACCGTCATGAACCTAAGTATCAAAATCATCCAGCTAGCCCCAATACTTTTCCGTTGAGGATTCATCTTTTTAGCCGCGTTTTTGGCAGGCGTGTGTAGTGGCCTTTTTTATTTTTTTTCTCCCCATCCGCTAGGTTTTTTTTTTTAATTTTCCCTAACTACGGAAGCTTGGCAACAAATTGCCAACCATTTAAGCCATTATAATTACAATTTTCAGTCAGCGTTTAACGAATTTCGAGGCACTTTCTGGCTAAATAAGAAGAAATACGTTGCGAACTCTCACTTTAGGATTAAATGGCCCTTGGTTGTATAAAATAAAAGTCTTCTAAGAATCAAGAAAATTGAGTGATTTCACTTCCATGACAACATGTCATAATTGACCAGAACACCTTACGTCATGTATTTCTTTCCCAGTGGTTACGGATGAGTTACAACTTGTTGCATAATGGAAATGCGTCAAAGATACGCCACCAAGCTCTCTTTTGCGGCAGGATTCCAATTTTGAAGCCCTTTTCAAGTGCTCGGTTTGTTTCATGGTCTACCCACAGTTAATTGCATTTCAGATTGCAAATTTGGGTTGGTGTTGCATTGACGTCAATGGGACGCCACTTTTTTGAAACGCCCAAAATGTATGAACCATTTCATAGCCGGAACGGAGCTTCTGATTGCAGTTATTCATGCTGAAAACCCACATCCCAATTGCATTACAAATGTTTCGATTTTCCCTTCATCAATGAAACATGGCTCATGATAGTGCATATAATTTTCTTAAAGGTCCTGTTGCCACTCTGCAGTACCACAACTTCTAAACTGTGTACTTTAAATTTACCAACGCTGGATGCTATTCATCTATTTAACTATGCGATTTAATTTCCATTTCATCAGTTTGTTTTGTCCTTTTTCCACTCCTATTCGATTACCACACCCCTTTATCACCATGGCCATGGTTTTGCTTTCATGTTTGCAGTAATTTCATTTAGTAATTGCAATTTGCAGCAAAGCTACTTAAGGGTACAATAACAAAGGACCTTATTAACATACATACATACATAGATGCATTCATGTAAATAAGTACTTATATAAAAGGTCAGGCGTTACTTGCTTAAGTTTCCTGCATAGGTCAAAATCATTAGTGCAAGGACCTTCTTCTATACTGCGGTAGATTTTTATGATATATAAATAAAACGGTAAGTAGATTATCATTTTCTTCTTATTATACTAGGGTTTTCTAATGATACTATACCCAATAGAGGAATTGTTATACATTTTATAAACTTTGACTAACCTTTTCATCCTTGGCATGAAGTAAGATATTTCGCTTCAGTCGAAAGTAGCGGCGGCGCCAGCGTTGAAAAGACCACGTGTGCTTCAGTAAAAATCCTTCCTTTATAGTAGCAGCCTAAAAAGGTGGAAGGTAAAGTTTTGTTTTAGTTAGATTTTTAATGTATCTTTTATCTGCTATATATGGCACTTTTCGTCAAGACTAGATCGAATGAAAACCTTTTATTTCTCTTTTTTATTCATAAACATTATTTTAGTAAATAAAACCCTGCAAACCTCACCAAGTTTTTTGTGCGTTTGGTGGACAAACTCCGTTGAAATAAACGTGTTGGCTTTGCCTCGAACTCTGACTCAGATTCGGAATCGTCAGTTTCACGACTAATCGAAATGATCGGAATGATGGGCACTGGTGAGAGGCTACCAGAGCTACAGGCGCTACTTCGACCGCTATTGGGGTTGCTCCTGCGGGTGGTACTGGAACGTTGCACCACATCGAGGGTGTCCAGTTTTATGTGGGCCATTGTTGTGATGTGGGTGTGGGTATGCTTCCCATTATTCTTTAGACTGTCACGAGGCAGAACACGGTATCGAAATCCAAGGCTCCTGGGACCCAGGTGATTTTCTCATATTCTTCTAGGGCGGCTTATATAAAAATGACCCACTACTTCACATACCGCCAGGGACTCCAATACACACAAGCAGGAATGGGTAGCTATTGTTTATTATATGACGTACACGCTCACGACGTACAAATTAGTTAATAATTGCTTTTAAATAGATGTAAAAAGTTTTAACTACAGTTGTACAATTAGGGCACACTAACTAAAAGGCAAATGCAATTCTCACAAAATTGTCTATCAAATAACACCCACAATTCACTCATTAAATCGCTCCGACAATAATTGAAATTAGTATATCATGTTTGCTTATTTGCACAGTCGTAATTATAAAAGTAGACACTAAATGGCCACCTCGATTTATTTTCCTCCTTTTTTTGTTTTTATTTTTTACTTTCAGCTCGGGCTTCTCTTTCAGTTCCCGGCCGAAGTTAAGGGAGTCGCGCGGCGAACTGTCAAATCCCCATCCGTGCAAGCCAGGTCGGCAGTGGCGGCAAGCTCCCTGCCAGGGTAGCCAGGTGGACTTAACTTAAAATCTAACTTAACATATACAAAATTTAGGAAAAGTTAGAAAGAAATGATGTTTCTTTTTTTTATAAAAATTTATTTAGCTTTGCTATAATTGCAATGGAATTAAGTTACAACATTACACATTTTTTAAAGTCTAATATGAAAATATATTTTTGACAGAGTTGACATTGTATTTCAAATGAGCCTTCCAAACCACTACGGCTCATCGGCGCGAGAGAAAATTGAGAGCAGCTGAAAAATACAGAGAGCCGACAAAACACACCCTAAGCCCAAGGACTTGGCTAACAGGACGAGCAAAACAAAATGTCTGATAAATAACATACAAGGAACAGATGAGCGTAAACTTTACGGCGTAAAGTGACCGGGAACTGGGAGAAAAAACATACACATACAATGGTGGGTTAAACTTCCGCAACGACGCCATCTTTAAATTCGCTCAACTTGTTTGAACCTATTTCCGGTAGTTTAAAAAAAAAACATTATTATGATTAAAAACAGAGAGAAAATGCATTGAATAAATATATGTACATAGTTGTCAAAAAAAAGCCGGCAATATTCCAGGAAAAAACACATACATATTTATTTTATATTCCGAGAGTTTGATATTAATACGATGTAAGTTTTGCCACTCGTGAAAATGTATATCGACATATCGAATAATGATTAAAAGAAAATGTATGAGCTTTTTAAATAGTGCCTTGTAGGTTTTTATACTGTAAGAAACAATAAAATCAATATGCAAGAATGGACAAATTTTTTTCATTTTTTCAAAATATGATGGTATAAGTCGCCGCAGTTATCCAAATCGATACTAAATGAATCAATTTGTATAAATATATAATTTATTTATATAAAATTTTACTTTTTGGGGTTTACGCATGCACACAAATACATATAATGACGGGAGCTGCATTTTTTCCAGTTCTATTGCAGTTTAAAAAGCACAGATTCAGGATACCTTCTTATTCCTCGCTCGAATCATAAACCCAATCCTGTGTCTCTGCTTGAACTGCTCCGCCTCTTGCCCCCTGAAAAGTCAATTTTCAATTTTCAGAGTCAAAAGTCAAGAGCATTTAAAAAAACTCACCCTAGGCAGATTTAAACACCTGCGAAAGCGCAAACGTTTTCTGCCCTGTTGTTCCCCCATCATGCCGAACTCAAAGAGACTAGGAGCAAGTAAGAAGCCACCCCAGTTGGTTGGCATAGGGATCTCCTCTGGTGCCTTTCCGAACCAGGCGCTCAAGCGCTGAACGATCCTCTGAAAGAAACCCGAGCGGGCTTGCGAATACTTTGCCGCGTATCGTGGTCCGTGCGTAATGCAGAGCTGCATGTGGCGCGAATAACGGCGAAATTGGTCCATTGCCTGCGCATCTGTCAGCTTGTATGCAGTTCCAGCAATCCGTACACTGCGCATCAATGGCGCCCAGTTAAAATGCAGCGAAACATGGGGATTCTGACTTATCTCGCCCGCCTGTCGGCTGCCCAACGTCGTAAAGAACGTGATTCCGTGGGCACCGACGTCCTCAATGTTGGTCAGCCGCGTAACTGGCTCGCCCGCCTTGTCCACAGTAGCCATGCACGCGAGACGCGGTCTCACTTGAGGCGCCTGCTTCTGAGCGGAAATCAGCCAGCGCTGGAAGATAATATACGGCTCCTCGATTGTCCGCTGATCCTGAGCGGCCACACTGTGTGCGTGATGGGAGTTTGTGGAAGACCATCTTGAATTCACCTGGGGAAAGATGCGGTACAATGATTCGGTTGTGGCCAGCGTTCCCCAAAATTTTTGTACTAAAATAGACGACATTGTAATTTCGAATATGCCTATTGCGTAAAAAAAACTGAATGTGAAGATGAAGTTTGATTCTTAGCAAGCAAAAACTACTTTGAAGAATTATTTTTATAACCAATTGACTCACATATTGTATACGTATTCTTATATTCTGAAGCCAGATTTCTTGTTAAAAGAATAGGCAAGTATTGTATTTTATTGAATCATGTGTTTTTATAAAATAACTATTTAAAACTATTAATAACTTGATAAAAATTTTTAGGTAACAATTTTAAAAGGAATATACTTAAAAGAGATTAAAAGTTTTCCATATTTTTGCTAGAATTATTTCAAATTTTACCGCCATGTAAAATTACATAACATCTTACATTAACCAGGCGCCATCTATTGGACGGTAGAATCCAACCCTTAGTTGCGAAATATCCTTAACATATCCTTTAGAGATGAGAAAATTATTCTATCGAATCCTGGAAACACTCCCATTCTTTATTGTTTACCTAGGAAGTCCATCGCTGACTTTGAAAAGGACATAAACCAAAATAAACGAAAATGCCGCAACTTCCACTCTTGGGCCTTGTCTGTTTCATTATCCTGCCACAATATTTTGCCTTTGGTTACAAGGAAATACATGGATTAAATGGCAAGATGTTCCCAAAGGCAGCCACTTTTAATTTTCCGGAGTATGCCTATAAGGAGACCAGCAAAAATGTGAGTCCTGCAGCTATATTGATTTTTATATTTTATTTAAATGTGTATACAAAACCAACCAACAGGAAATTACATACCACGAAATGGAGGTTGAATGCGATCATCATGTCCAGTGTGCCAACATTAGCCCAGTGGGAGTGGCCAAGATCAACTGCATTCGGAAATGTATTTCGCCATCCTGCTACCAGGACATTTACGCGTTTAACGAGGTAAGTCTCCGTATCAGTGGCCTATGTTTGTTTTAACTTCTGTAATCCTGCAGCTCGAGGAGGGCGAGATTGATGTCAGGCTCAACTCCTTCAAAGGATGCGTCATACAGCGCATGTAGCAACGACCGCAGCTGTTCAGGGAGTACTTTCTATTTAAATGGTTGGAATTTATTGGATTTCCTTCTTGAACAGACTCTTGAATATGTTGTAAAAAACACATCCTAATTTGAAGTTGGAAAATGTATTCTAAGCCCTTACAATTCCGGCTTTTTGGCTTAGTTCTACGAATTAGTTACCTTTTTAGATAAAATGCCTGACCCACTTTCATTGAATGACCTTTGAAAATAATCATGATATGAATCGTATAAAAATAAATGCATTTTTGTATTGATAAATAATAAAAACTATAAATACGTTTAATCGTGCTTGGATCAGCGTAGACAGCACGCTATCCTATTCTTCTATATTTCAGGAAAAACGACGACTAGAACACAGGGATGATAATATAGAGTATTTATAGTGTCAACGCACGCCATTAGAGTATTAAGAATATGGTGCTAGAAGTCGCGAAATATATTTTATTTATATAATTACAAGAAATACATATTGCTAATAGTTTATTTTCAAGGTATGTTACAAATAAACACACTTGACATATTTAGTTTTTATCGAAATAACTCTCATTAAACTACTTGCCATTTAAATTGTTTCAAAATGCAACTTAAACCAACTTTCTAGTGAAATGTTTAGTCCAAAACTAATATAATTTATATTAGATGTACTACAAGTCATTGGGGCAGGGCAACGGTTTTGTTGAAATAGTTACGGAGGCAATTTCCCAATTTCCCAGGGAAAATACAATTTTACTTTATGACTGTGGCGCCTAAGACAACAATTCAATTGCCTCCCCTCGAGCTTCCCTATCCACCAAGTGTTGAAACCTCCTCCTAGTAGATCAATCAAGCCAAATCAAGCGTGTTGGATAAATATATCCACATATCTACATAGACACACACCCATCCCCCTGGCACGCACACACGCAATGCGAATGTTTGTACTAGTGCGGCGTTTAAGTTTAGTTCGGTAATTAAAAGCCAAATGCTCATAAAACGAAAATTTATTAGCATTGTTTAAGCGAGTGTCTGCTGTGTGTTTGTGGCAGTGTGTGTTTGTTGAACACACAAACTATGTCACTGTGCGTATGTTATACAATTGCACAGGGAAGAGGCGTGGCGACTAATGGGAGAAAGGGGCGCGAAGTTTTATGGGGAGCTGGCGCACTCCTACACTCGTACATGTGGGTGTTGAAATCCCTATGGATTTTTAATGTGCTTAATTTGAGTGACAGCTCCAAAATGGGCACGATCGATTTCTCTGTTCTCTGTTCTAACACGCCCAGCTGCCACGCCTCCCTTCATGAGAATGTCAATGTCCACCCACACGCACTATGAAAAATAAAATCACAAAACAAGGATTTGCATTTTTCACATTTCGAGATAAATTGTGAAAACTGGAATGTTAATAATAAAAATTCTTTTGGGTTTTATGACATTTATTTTAATATCTGACTTATTTAAAAGCTAATCCCTCTTTAAAAATTATTGAGAAATGTTAAAAAAAACATTTTTATTATTTGCAGACTTTTTTTTGGCTTATAAAACTTACATATTTATTTAAATATGTACTATTTTTTGCAGTGATGCTGCCTACACACTCGGTCGTTATCAATTACAGGAAATCCATTTATTTCCATCTGCATATGCAAACCAATGCGTGACGACTTTCCCTTCCCCACTGGCCAGACCTTCCTCCATTCAGGATCTTAAACATCCTTTGTACTGCGCCCAGCTTTACTCATTTGGGTCTCCTAATTCTGTTGAGTATCGCATCTTACTTGGAATCCTCGAGACAAACACAAAGTGTATTCATAATTAATACATTTGCAAAGAAGTGATAAAGAAGGGCAAAGAAATTAACGCGCTGCGACTAAGGAGCGCGACTTCAGAGGTTCTAAGGCTCAGAGGTTCCGAGGTTCAGAGGCTCAGAGTGACAAATACAGTGGGACCTCTGTGCACACACAACGGTCGGCCCCCTCAGCCAATCCAAAACACGCAAGCCACCAGTGCCGGCAGAAGGCGAGTGGCAAGCGTTTGGCAAATTAGCCAAATGCGTTATTTGGCTCACAAGCATTTCGGTTTCAGTCGCTCACGGAACGTCCTGGCGTTTGGCCGCAAAAACCGAAAACCCAGAACATTGGCCCGACCCTGTGTGTTAACTGAAACGGAAATTCGAAAGTCGTTACATATTACAAATATAATTAGAATGGAATATGAAATATGTAAATATTTCTAGTCCTTCACTGTCGGTTAGTTGGTTTTTTTGGCGCAGTGTTTTTGATGATCTTTCCGTCGTAAATCACAATCCCTCGAACATCTGGCCGTAATCAACAGATAAATTTATCAATTAACTTGCTGCTATCAGCCAAAAGCAAAACTAATGAGGTTTTAGCCAAGTTACTGTGTGTGCCTGTGTATCTGTGAGCAACAAGTCTGTGATCTGACATTTGTGCGCCCTGTGCTCGTTCAACGCGAACTAATCAAATAAATATGCCAGTTAATTGGAGAATGCATATTAATGAGGGGGTAAAAACGGTTCAAACTCCACCCACATAATCGACCAGTTCCATGACCACGCCTACGCCCACGCTCCGCCATACCATCCCTCCAGTCTTCTATAATTTCCTCCTGGCAGCTGTTACCTCAGTGCAATTTACCTTAATTTTTTATGGTCTCGTTGTCTGGATGCCTTTGTTGTCAATTTTTGATGAATCATAGAGCGTGCAAAAATCTAATATACTCGTTTATGTTAGCACTTAATTCGCGGGTTCGGCACTTCGATTAGTCAGTTCACCGCCAACCATCCTCCGGATTTAGCCGTAGACTTCCCCTCGCCCGGGGACCTCATCATTTTTATATCAGAATTTTCGGAATATTTTCCAAACAAATCGTCGGCCAAGAAACCTGGAGAATGTGTGCGCGTCCGCCTTGATAAAACAATAGCATAAAACAGAAAAATATATATATATATATAATAAAATACAAAATCTGAAAAGTAACGAAACAAGAATGAGAAGACTGGAAATAAAAAATGTAAGGCAACTAAGGAATTTTGCCCTGCCGTCGCGAATTGTTGCTGCTTGTGTACTTTAATCGACAACACAAAGAAGAAAAACAAGAATAACAAAAAACACAAAAATACTAAATACGAGAACAAGTATCGCGCATACGCCACGTTGACGGTTCCGCTCAGGGTGCGCGGCGGGGTGGTGGTTATGGTTGGGTGGGTGGGCCTAGGGCCTGGCCAGGGGCTGGAGGGCAGCGGTGGAGTGGGGCGTTCATCTCAGCATCTCAGGTTGGACAGGCCGACAGCCGACTGCCAACTGTCAGTTTGTAATCAGCAGCAGCTTCAGCGGCACAGCTGTGCGTGTGCATATAAAGAAACTTTTCGGGGGGTTCCCTAGGCCCACCAATAGGCCGTCATCAGATCCATTAGATCCCCCCGGTCGAAAATCGATTCCCCACCTCAATCCGTGTTCGATTCCGTGACCTGCGACCCGTCGATGGGTAACAAATGGCGACAGTAAACGCCTACGACTAATCACTTAACTATTTATAAGTCAACGCACATCAGGCCCATGTTTACCGTCGAGATGCTTGCCTCCACTCGCCGCGACTCGCGAGAGATATTCGAGATGTATCCGAGAGATGCAATTCTAGCATTCGCCTGGTGTTGAAGTGTGTACCCAAGCTGTTGTTTGACTTGCGGGTGTGGGGAGCCGACTTCAGATGTGCACTGCCATAAAGTGATAGTTAAAGTGAGATAATGTCTTAAAAGTAAAATAAATCAAATGCGTATATATTGGAAAATTGTTATTGTAAATAATTAATGGTTGGTATCAACAAACCCGGAATAGTGAAAAGAAAACATACCCAATTCAACAAATTTTTTTAATAAAACAACGTGCAATGTTCTTAAAGCCACAAAACTTGAAAACATTTTTCCTAATATTTAGACTCATCATGATTAATAGACAATCAAGTTTTTTTCCTGTGTTGGATCTATACAGTAGTGTCATCCGATCGAAGGTCGAATAGCATAGAGATTTGAAATTTAAAGCACATTTGTAGGAATTCCTCTTGGGAGAGCATGTGTGCCTGATTTATTTTCATTTATTTCCAAAACGCTTGCCATCGATATAAACAAAGCGGTACATGAATATATATGTAAATAGATTTGCTCCGAAAGAGGCCGCAGACTATTGCTATTACTAGCTGGAAATTGCCGGCCGAAATTGAAATGTAAATGGTAATATTAATTGGAAATCATTTAAAACTTTTTCGGACTATGCATGTTCCGCTGCATAATTTATGGACGCTAATTACTTTCGCTCCTCTGTGTATTCCGTATACGTACAGTGGCCGTTGTGCTGTCCAAGGCCAATTACGCTTACTTATTGCAATTTATGTGGCCACAGTCCGGCCGTAATTGGAAATTGTGTAAGGTCGCAGGCAATTCCATTATTTGTATGCAGTTCTGGTCGGTCTTCTAGTTTCGCTTCGTTGGGGTATGGTCCGATCTGAGGTCTAATTCCTGTCTGGCCCGTGTTTCTAATGACGCCATCACGACTGGCTACCCAATTGATTAAGTGCAATTTGTTGATGTCGAATTCCATTGGCTATTCCTTAGAGCTACCTCAAGCCGTCGGAATGTCGGATGATTCGGGTGACCCCCATCAGTGGCTACCCTCGCTGCTCCTCTCCACCGCCATGTCTTTGGTCAGTAGCAACGGTTCCTTGGACGGGAACCTCCTCCTCAGCCAAAGAACAACACCATCGAATACAGTGGATCCGGAAGTATCAGCAGCAGGACCCGCCACGACGGCAACAACCCTTAAAGTAGGCGTGCCCTCAATGAACTCGTATCTGGTGAGCATGGCCTGGCCCAAATCCTTGGCCGTGGCCGTTTTCCTGGTCCTCATTCTCGTAACAGTCGTCGGCAACACGCTGGTCATCTTGGCCGTTATGACCACACGCCGCCTTCGCACCGTTACCAACTGTTTCGTGATGAACTTGGCCATAACCGACTGGCTTGTCGGCACGTGCGTGATGCCCCCATCGGTGATTCTCTATATAACAGGTGAGTGTGTCCGGCGACGGCGAAAGATTTACGACTCTGCCCCCTGGAGCGGATGGTCTCTATGCTGCAAGCGATTCTTCCATCCCCATTTGCAAATAGGCCATTAAAAAATTAAAAACAATTCCATTTCCCACAAAAAAAGGTAAACAATTTTGTCTGTGATCTGAAAATTAATATTTTCCTGGAAATGGTTGCAAGTGGCAGAGCAATACAAGTGCTTATGAAAAAAAAAATTATGTAATATATTTCTTATTGTTTATAAGTTTTGATTGAAGTGGAATATTACGTTTTTATATTGTTTAATGGGGTATTACAATTTTGGTCTCAAGACCGATGATCAATCTTCCGCAGAGATAAATATTTGCGAAAGCACACTATCTTTGCCAATAATTATCCGATTCTTAAGCGGAATACGTTAAACGATTAGTAGATCGATTCTTCAAAAATCTGCATCAAAATCTACAAACATATTTTTTTAGGATTTTTTTTATTAAATTTTTTAAGGGGTCCCCTTCAAAAATAGGTAAAATGCGTGAAAGGGCAATATGGTCCCCATCGAAGACCATATCTTCCTCAATTCTCATCCGATTCTCAAGCGGAGTACCTTAAACGATTTCTGGATCGATTCGCCACCATTCTGCATCAAAATCCTGAGACAAAATATTTTTTCGATTTTTTGTCTATTTTTCGTGAGGGGATCCCTTAAAAATGGGATTTCCCCTATAGGGTCCACGGTGATGGCTATATCTTCCCCAATTCTCATCCGATTCTTAAGCGGAGTACCTTAAACGATTTCGGGATCGATTCGCCACCATTCTGCATCAAAATCCTGAGACAAAATATTTTTTCGATTTTTTGTCTATTTTTCGTGAGGGGATCCCTTAAAAATGGGATTTCCCCTATAGGGTCCACGGTGATGGCTATATCTTCCCCAATTCTCATCCGATTCTTAAGCGGAGTACCTTAAACGATTTCGGGATCGATTCGCCACCATTCTGCATCAAAATCCTGAGACAAAATATTTTTTAGATTTTTTGTTTATTTTTTGTGATGGGATCCCTTGAAAATGAGGTTTTCTCCTATATGGTCCACAGTGATGGCTATATCTTCCCCAATTCTTATCCGATTCTTCAGCTGAGTACCTTTAACGATTTCTGGATCGATTCGCCACCATTCTGCATCAAAATCCTGAGACAAAATATTTTTTAGATTTTTTGTCCATTTTTCGTTCCCCTATATGGCCCACAATGATGGCATTATCTTCCCCAACTCGCATCCGATTCTCCAGCGGAGTACCTTAAACGATTTCTGGATTAATTTCTCACCATTCTGCATCAAAATCCTGAGACAAAATATTTTTTTAGATTTTTGTGTATTTTTTGTGATGGGATCTCTTAAAAATGGGGTTTTCCCCTATATGGTCCACAGGGATGGCTATATCTTCCCCAATTTTCATCCGATTCTCCAGCGGAGTACCTTTAACGATTTCTAGATCGATTTCCCACCATTCTGCATCAAAATCTAGGAAAATAATTTTTTTTACATGTTTTATCAAATTTTTTTTGGGGGTCCCCTTCAAAAATTGGGAAAGTAGGGAAATATTTATTTACTTTCTTTCGGTCAACACCTCAAGTTAAATGAAGCCAGAAATATGGAGCAATGAAGGTCTCTAGCAAAAAAAAGAACGTTTTTTTTCCTGGGAAAAGTGAGCTTAAACTTTTTTACGCACCCTCCCGTAATAATTTTGCCTGTCCGGGGAATAATTTCAAGTTACATTACATGAAGGGAATGCAAGTGTAATGCCACCGTAATCTGCTGCTCAGCGAAGTCCCCGCAGAGCCATATGAATCATGGGGTCTCAAGCTCGACAAATATTTACTTCGCAGGCACTTGGCGCTTCGGCTGGATACTGTGCGACATCTGGATCTCGCTGGACATCCTGCTCTGCACCGGCTCCATCCTCAGCCTCTGCGCCATCAGTCTGGACAGGTGAGTTTGTGAACTAATTTCTTAATTTGTCGTTGATGTCATAGTTGTAGCCAATGCCAACGGCCAACGGATAGCGCCAGAGCCAAAGTCAAGGCAAGGTGCTAAAACAGTGCAAAATAATTTATTTGTTGACGTTTTTATTGCCCCATGACGGAGCCAGTGGCAGTCCTAGGAGCAGGGACAGGGCATACCCTTTGAGTGTCCTGTGTGGGTGAATGTGAATGGGCAAATGAAGGAACTGGCCAGAGATTGGGTTGGGCCGGGACCCACTACAGTCGGTTGCTTTTGTTGGAAGTTTCAATTACATTTTAATGGCATTTCCAAGTTTTGTGCCGCACCGGGTTGAACTGATCCAGCTGAGCCCGTACCGAGACCGACCAACTGACTCTGTACTTTGTTTGCCTTACGGCTGCGGCTTTATGAACAATATGCTCGAACAATATTATTGTTTCATTCATTCATTTCATGAACAATATTTGGCTTTTGTTTCATTCATTCTTTATTCGGTATTTCATATTCCATACTCTGTTTGGCAGCGTTTATTGCCCGGCTTTTGGATTTCTCTGGTTTCTCGCAGGTATCTCGCCGTCACACAACCCTTGACGTACTCGAAGAAGCGCCGCTCCAAGCGCCTGGCCCTCCTCATGATACTCGTTGTGTGGATAACGGCCCTGTCAATCACTTGTCCGCCGTATTTGGGCTGGTAAGTAAAGCTCCCGATACCGCTTCTGCTTCCGTTGCCTTGCCGCTTCCGTTTTTATTTCAATTTTCTTTTTAATACACTTGCTAGGGATGTTTAAGAACCTGAGTATTCCACTGAAATCTAGCAACAGACCCTCTAAAATAAGATCATAAATAAGAAAACAAGGTCAGGAAAAAATAAAAATAAAAAGGAAAAATAATCAATAGACAGTTCTGTTAGGCTTTTATCTCTAATTCGGTAAAAAATTATTCTTTCTAGCTAATAGATTCTAAAAATATATTACTACAAGGGTATAATTGATTCGTGTTGAGCCCCCGAAAAGGTTTAATTTCTTTTTTTTTGGGGTTCCTTTAACGCTAATGGCTGTATGTGGCCCCAATATAGATAATGTGCCACAAAAAGGCCCAAAATGTATGTGCGCTTATATTTATATTTGTACCTCCAGCTGCGCCTAAAACATTACGTAATTGCTCCAGTTCTAGCTGTTGTTCTTGCACCCATTACATTGAAGTTTTAATGAGTTGTTAATGACTTTGTTTGGCGCGGCGCATTTGCTTTGTACTCGTTTACCCGAAAGCCACACACTTGTGTGTTGCATACTTCCAGGCGCCCAAATTAACCAGCATTCACTTGCACACACACACACGGTCTCCCTTTGACACCCCCCTCTTCCTATGGGAGGTGTCCTGTCCCCCAAACAGTCACCAGGGGCAACTCATTCTTTACTGTCTCTTGGCCCGGTCCTGGCTGGCGCCCTAAACATGGCTTAAAGTGCACATTAAAACCGGCTGAGGTCGAACTATAAAGCCGCAGCTGCCGGGCATTGGAAATATTTGAAAATTCGCTTTTCGGGGAGTTGGGGGGGAAAAGTGCAATTATAACTGCCAGCAGATGCTGCAGTTGGCAATATCTTCATTCTTTAAGGGGAATAGTTTAATAAAAAAATGTTACCAAGGCCAAAAATAGTTTTGGGTTGAAAAAGTTTAGGAATTGGCATTTTAATAGGAAAACATAATGATCGAAAAAGTTCTGTCTTCTTGCACATATTTAGTTGATCAATTCAACCATGGATATCCCTGGTCTTCCTTGGCATTCCTTCATCGATTTAAAGTCAGTACCGATTCGTGTTAACTGAATGACCATCACGAAGAGATGTGCATAAATAAAAGGCATCCAAAAGGGAATTTCAGGGAAAGGATAAATTGCCAGGACAGGCTTTGGTTTAGGATTTGAGTTTTGCATTTCGCCCTGCTTAACTGTCATTCCGTTAAGTCCCAGTTCCAAGTTCTGGGAACTCAGTAGCCAGGACTCGGTTCCTGGTAACTGGCAAGGGACCGAACGAGTCGGCATCGAGCAGATACTGAGCCGCAATCACAACAACCACAAAAACCACATGCTATTCGAAACTGGAATTCAATTTGCCATTCACAGGTACGAGGCTGGGAGACATCAGGCGGAGTTTGTGGACTGCCGCTACAACCAAAACAAGGGCTACGTGGTCTTCTCGGCAATGGGATCATTCTTTATCCCCCTCACGGTGATGCTGTATGTCTACGTGAAGATTGGTTATGTGCTCACGTCACGCCGACAGCGCATTGTGCGCGATGCGGTAAGCTCTATGGTTTCCCCACCACCCCATCACACCCCCACCTGACTCACACCTCCCCCAACTTGGTCCGCTGAAATGTCTCCTGAAATTTATCATGTCACACCATCTAACCATCCAACCACCTGACTAACCTGACTCGCACTGCGGAAAAGCGTAATCATTTTTGTATTCACGCTTATTAAGTCTTCAAAGGAAATATCATAATAATATGATTTAATAAAAAAAAATAAACATATTCATACTGATAAGGTCTTTAAGACTTTAAGGCTCTGAACTTTTTCCCAGTGCTTTACCACACATCCTTTTTTATTTCCATTGTCAGAACTCGGAGCGGACGGCAGACTACGATGTGGATGGCGACAACTTCATCTCCGAGTCGGAACACTATCACTGCACGCCAACCAAGTGGCTGCCAAACCGGAAATCCCGGTGGAGGTTCAGTTCGCTGCACGACCCAGCCACCGCCACCGCCACCTCCAACAGCACCACCTCCGGAGCGGCTAATGTGAATGCAGAAAATATGGCCAAGGCGTCGCTCAAGTGCTCCAAGTGCTCAAAATGCCAGCCGGAGCGGGAGAAGGGTGTGCCGGACAAGACGCTGACCTTTAAGCACCAGCCGACTTTTTACGAGCTGGTGGAGGTGTCGCGGCTCTCGTCCTTGATTCACTGCTCCGCAATTAGTTGCAAGTATGGCGGACCTTGCATGCACTCCACACCCTCCGGCCTGCACTACGTGGGCAGTCAGGTGTCCTCCTACTCGGAGTCGTGCTTGGGCGGCGGCAACTCCACATCAGTGGCCCTAGAAACTGGCGGCGTTGAGAAGGCGGAGGTGGATTCCCAGCAACAGAAACGGGGCTGCGCTAGCCACAGCCATAGTCATCAGCACCACCACCACCAGCACCACCATCTCAACCATCATCATCGCATGCCCATGCGAGTCTCGACCACGAAACGTGACACTAAGACCGCCAAGACCCTGACTATTGTGATGGGCGGCCTAATTGCTTGCTGGCTTCCCTTCTTCGTATATTACCTACTGATACCCTTCCTGCCCCGACCGGCCGTTCTCGAGGATCTCATGTTCGGGTTCACCTGGGTGGGTTGGGTCAACTGCGCCATCAACCCGTTTATTTACGCCTTCTACAATCCCGATTTTCGCACTGCCTTTTGGCGCCTCACCTGCCGACCCATTTGCAAGCAGAAACGTCCTCCCAACCACCTGGCCATGTTTCGTGGCTAGTTAGGGTCTTAAAGCCAACTAGTTAGCGGTATAATCGAAACTTATATGGGATCAATTCTTAAAAACTTATCTGAATGTTAAAGCATTTGCTTTTCAAGATAAATCTCTTAGAAAAGTTATACTTTTCCATTATCCAAAATATCTATTTTGATGTTTTTAAAAGGCAATGACTGGAGGTTATTTATCTTATATAAACCTTTCAGTCATTAAAAACAAATTGATTTTATTGAAATGATTTAAAGTCATTAAAAAATTCTTCGTTTTAGAATTGTTACACAAGTATTTAAGGGAAGATTAATAGAAAATATAGTCGTTTTTAGCCCGAACATTTTTATTCCTTTCATGATCAATGCCGATTAAAATCTTAAAAGCAGGAATAAAGTAAGAAAACTTGCAACGAAGATTTAAATTCTACTCCACCTCATTCGACATAGGATAAGGACCAGTTTTAAAAGTCACAAGTGTGAGCAAACACTTACTTTCCGTCAATATGTATTCCTAGTCAATTGTAGTGTTAAGCTTCAGAGTATCTGTTGAGAGTTGCCGGTTGAAATGTGCCACAAAATGTCGCATCATATACACGAGGTAATAAAAGGCCAGTTTTCATCAGGAGCTTTAAGACCCAGTTGACCTAACCGGAAGACTAGATTCTCTCCTAGACCCGCCTAGACCCCATCCCATATACAGAATTATATAGTATTTTTAGGAGTGTGCGTGAGTGTTGATTGCACGAAGAACAGAACGAAACAAAAGACAAATTATAGTATTTGCGAGTCTTTGTGCTGCCTGACGGCCACTGTTGACCATCAGGATGAGAGCAGGATGAGAAGGACGATGATGATGATGGTGACGGCGATGGTGATGGTGATGGCGATGTCGTATCTCGTCCCTTTGTTGTGACTGCGTGAGCGTGTGTGTGTGCTTATGGAGAAGTGTGCCTCGCAGTGGGTCCAGAAACTGCCAACGACATATCTAGCGTGTCCTTTGTCCCGGCCCGTCCTGGGCGGCCTAACCCCGCAGGCACACAGTGTCCGGCCAACCCATTTAATGTTTGAGCAATCGCACAACGCACCGAAAGTGAAAGTGAAACTGAAACAGAAACTAAAACTGAAACTAAAACAAAAATCGGGCCTGGATGTTGAAGCTGCACTTGAGCTTGAAGAGATTTTAGATGACCCTCTGACCAGTTGGTCCTCACTTTTGAGCCCGTTAAGCATTTTAGCTTTTAGCCCTAAAAGTTACACAAAAAAAGGATTTGTAAAGTTGTAATATAAATCGCACATATGTATATCGCACGTATTTATAACCTCTACCATGTACTTTGTAATTGTTCACTTGCAAACGGATCTCTGCAAGGACCTATCGGCCATCCTCGGACCATCGGCCGAATGCGTTCTTATAATAAACTTTAAGTTCAACTCGACGAATATTTTATTATTATTCAAGGGAAGCTTAGGGGGGCGTATTGGGTAGTTGGCATAGTAGACTATAAAATAACCTTCCTCCCTGTTAAGCTGCTTTACTTATTGAGCTATAAATTGTCACACAAAAGTTTTATGAACAATTTCCTGAACACGTATTTTTCCTCAAGACACGGGACACAAAGTGGGTGTGTGTGACTTACACCCACAAGGATTTGCCAAATATGGAAAATAAATCGTAAAACCACTGCCAGTGAAAAGAATAGTAATTTATTTATTAAAAGTTCTCTTCCGTTTGTGCGTCACTTAAAGTTTCTTAAATTTAGAAAAGCTGCAATACTCGAAGTCATTTGAAAAGGCTGACTGCAGTTCAAAGTACTTTTGATAAAATCTTACTGGAACTCAAGTAAAAAATTCTCATTTTCAGACAGAAATAAAAGCTTCAAAGGAAAAGTGGAAAAAGAGTGGTTGCGGCAGTGCAGCCTTGACTCCATTTTTTGTGATTTATTATTGGAAGTGGTAACCCAGTGGCCGCCACTACTACTGTTAAGTTGTTTACGGCAACGAGGCCGGAAGCAAAAGAAACGCTGATTCAGCAAGCTCTGACCACGGCTTTGACTCCAGTGACTCCGGCGGTGCGCTGATTCCAGCTGGGACCGCGATGGTGTTACATTAATTTAGCTGGAAATAAGGCGTGAAAAAATATGCGGTCATCATAATTACGTATACGTACACAACACAAACACCTCCTTCTGCGCGGAACCCACGCACATATGTGACTAATATAAAAGCATGACAGCGGGGCGGAGTATCCTCCGCCTCTCTAATGAATTGCAACACATTTTGCTGTCACATTTCACTTTCGAGTCGAGCTCAGCGGAAACGGTCGTCCTTAATGCCGCTTGTCAACGGCCCTGTAAACCCAGGACTATAACACCGTACGAGTATGATACACGGAAACAAAAGTTCTTTTTTTGTAACCACAAAGACAAAGCCACTTTTCACTAGCATTGTTTCCATACCAATTAATTATATATTTTTTATGTTTGCTCTTCCTGCGGCTGTCACTTTCGATTTTGGCCTTACCACAAGCCAAAACCACAATGTATATTGAACAAATTAATGTAATTAGCTCTATAAACTATCTACTTTATTTTCATAGAAATATAGGAAAATTAAATGATTTTTATTAAAAGTATGCGAAATAGTTATGGCCTAGAAGGACTCCTTAAAACGCAAATGTACTGCTTTAATAGTATCCTATTTTTCCTATCAACAATTACTTTAACAAGTTTCTAAAATTTAAATGATATCCTTTAAGTATTTTTTTCAGTACACTCTGTTCCGTAATTTTTGGTCTTTTTTGGAAAGGACCCCTTCCCTTTGAGCCGCTTTGTTGGCTGATATCGCATAATGTGTTAAATTAAATGGCCGCGGTTACAGGTAATGAAGGTGGCAAGACTGTCAAGCCTGGCAAGAGTTGCCCGTTGTCCTGGCATCCTGGGCTCTCCTATTTTTAGCCTTGTGTCGACAGGGTGCTTACGCTAATGTGGTTGCTTGTTGTTTCAAGATTTTCGGTTATGTCATCGCTTCAGTTTCTTTTTGGAGCGGTTATGGGGGTTATGAAACAATTGTGGGTGGTAGGAGGTGTGGTACGTGGTATGTAGAGTGTCGGCAGGATAAGAAAAATAAAAAACACATCGATATTTTCGAGCATTTAACAAGTGCTCGGGACAGGCAAAGTTTGCAGCCTCCTCCTTGCCATGACAAATGCCCCACAAATGTTTTTCGAATGAACTTTGGTTTTATTTCGGTTCCTTTTGTTTGCGTCGCCAAGTTGTTGGGCTGGCTTTTGGCTGGATTGTCTGGATGGATGATGCTCCACAAGTGCCACCCCTCCGGGAGAAGGGGGCACCTTTGTTTACCGCTCAGCGGAAAAGGAGCCGATCAATTAATGTTATCCAAGTAGGGTTCTGGCTCAATTAGAGTCTTAAAACTCCATTTGGAGGATGCTCAGCTGGGGCTTCTCCCGGGGGATAGAGTAGGATAGGCGGTCGTGGAATGGATGTAGCGGGTGGGTATGTGGGGGCGGGATGATGTGGCTACAATAAAATATTCATGGAAGGAGAGTCAGCGGCAGCTCTCCGTATTTATGGTTATTTTCCGCACCAAACACAACTTTTGCTTTCTAACCAACCGTACACTGTGTATACTCTGGTTTGGTTTGGTTTGGGTTTTTTCTTGGCTTTTTTACCATTTCTGGGTTTTACCCCTCGACAGGATTCGACGACTGACTGGATCCTGGTTAAATTTATAAATACATACCAGAACACATATCCGTGGGATGTGGAAAGTGGGTACTGGGAAGTGGGGCGTGGGGCGTGGGAGTAGGGTTGAGTACAGTTCAGTACAGCGTGTACGGTCGGTCCGTACGGGGTACGGTTGTGAATTCAATTTTGAGACTGATCAATAATTCACGGTCCACACATACAAACACTAACCATTGTTTCTCGCATCCTCCGGCATCCTCGGCATCCTGTCACACCGAGAATCCTGCTCATTGCTGGAACGGCACCTTAAACTGCAAAACTGCTTAAATAAGAAAACAATCTCTCGGGGAGGCGGAAGTGCTGGGAATTGTCTTTTCGATTTGTCTATTTATTTGTTAGCTTTCAAAAAATGCTCTTCATACACGTATAACTATTAATATATATGCAGATTATGCGGATTATGTATATATGATATTACAAGCCAAAAGCCCAGCCCGGGCGAGAGATGATGGATGCGTGGATTCCGGTATTCGGGGATTCCGTGATGGAATGCCGTGATGCCATGTTTGCTTGCGACGACGGGTCGGAAACTCTCTCACCCGGCGGAGCATCTGTTTGACTTGTTGGGCCTGACATGTGAGCTGAAATTTAGAAGGATTGAGGCAACTGACTGGGAGTGGGGCTGACGGCTACAGTACTCCTCCAGTATGTTGATGAGCCTTTCGTCTGACTTAATCTCTATGTCGTAGCATTGCTTGATTGCGTTTATGACTTCACACCGAGAATATCTTGAAAGTGAATATGGGAGATGGGGATGAGGATGTGGATGTGAGGGGGCATGTACATATTTGGAGTTTAAAGTAGATTGCTTCGTACAAACAACACGAATTTCTAGGCTAAGAATAGGGCTCCTAGGGTTAGCTAAGCTTTTTTGATGGCCTGAATAAATTACGCCTAAATTGTATGGTGTTTTCTCTGCTCGTTCACACTCGCCCACTCGCATACGTACTCACCCATTCATTCCTATTCGCATTCACTCCTTGTTACACTCGGGTTTACATTCATAAATATGTTTATGCTCTTTAAGGCTAAGGGAAAACGCTTGAAGTCCCAAACGACTTCAACTATAAACTAAATCACAGTAAATGTTTTTTTTCCTTTAACTGGCATTCCAATAAATCTGATTAAAGCTAACTATCGACTTAGTCCACCCATTTGGGGTTCCACTGATTTCGGCTTTGATTCGCATATCCTCTATTAAGTATGTAAATCATTCCATCATATCGCTGTTATTTATGGCTACGATAAAGATAGGGTATGCGAGTCTGGGATATATATGGCACGATATTAGGGGCCCTATAATAGGGGCGAGCCACATCGTAAATTCGGCCCAAAGGAAAAGTTTTGGACAGGTGTCGGGGTCACCGAAAAGGTAAAGCGCCGCGCCAGAATATTAGAGTGTTTGAGAAATGAGTGCAATTTCGGCGGGCCATATAAGCAAGTTTTCTCATTCATCTAACCTGTCTATGGCATTGGCTTGGCAAAAGCAACAGCGGTGCTACTGCCACAAACAGCCCGTGCCCGAGTCCGGGTCTGGGACTGGGACTGGGGCGATGTTGCAAGTTGAGAGGCGCCGCCTGCTGAGCGGAAAAGTCGCACGGAAATTACTAAATCGATACGTGCGGCCGCGTATCAGATTTTTCCACGCGGGTTCCGCATGCAAATTCCGGTCTGCAAAAAAAAATGTCTTGAAGCCGCGGCGCCTGCAGTTGCATACATAAGCATCGGCTGGCAGTTGGCTTTATCTAATTTAAACTTTTATTCTTGGTAATTTTTGCATATCTTGTCTAGCAATATCCTTTTTTGCAACTTCTTCCCATAATAGAGTAAATGGTATCAATAGTTTTTTTGAGGCTTTAAAACTATATATATTTAAAATGATTTTAAACTGTGCTCATCCCAACTTATCGCCTTTCTTTAATAAATTAGAGAAGTTGAACTTTCGCTTTTCTTTGGACAGCTTTAATTGGTTTACTTGGAGAAAGCCTCCAATAGGACTCTCCTCTTTAAAGGTCAACCTCAAACCTCAAAATAAACAGTCTAAAAATAAATAGAAACAGGAAATCAAATCATCCCACTCAAATGGCTCGAATTAAGGAAATTAAAGCGAAACCAGTGGAGTTTTCCCTTGGCGGGACCAGTCGTCATTTTAAACCACAAAATACGATCTAGAATTGGAAGCAAACCCTGACGATGAAATAAATTATCAAAGTAATTGGAGAACAATTACACATGGATCAATGGAGGGATAAAGGAGGTGGACGTTGAGGTGCAATTAGAGACCACACCTCGCCTAAAGGTAATGAATAAGTTAATAATATGTTATGCAATGGCTATTTGTTCAGGGCTTGACGTGAGAAGGTGTGAGGTTGTGTGTGGGTGTTTCATTATAATCTAGGGGTTGCTGCTGCGAGGAGTTCGTCCTGCCCCTCTATCGCCGGATGGACATGGTGTTTGTGGGGAACTGCGGCTTCTGTCCGGCACTGAAGAATCGCTTGCAGGTGAGTCGCCAGAAGGCGGCTCGGAAATCAACACTATAGAAAGCGTAGATGAACGGATTGATGGCACTGTTGAACCAGCCGAGCCAGGTTAGTGCCTTGGCCAGCATCTGGCTGGCCTGGTGCTCCGCCAGGAAGGGGGTGATCAAGTAGTTGATAAAGAAGGGCAGCCAGCAAGCAATGAATCCTCCGACCACGATGCTCAGGGTCTGGGTTGTCTTGTTCTCCTTCTTGAGCGATGTAATCCGGTTCGACAGGGACTTGGAATTGTTGCTGGTGGTGTTGACAGTGGTGGGGCCCGAGCTGATGACACCGGTTGTGCCCCCGCCCTGGTGATGGTAATGCGGATGGTGGTGGCTCCTCCTATCCCCGTGTGAGTGTCGGAAGCTGTGGGTCCGGACTCCGGGCTGTTGTGCCTGCCACTGGGCATCTAGAAGACTGGCTCCTGGTCCAATACCACTTGTCATTGTGGTAATGGTCGTCGAAGCGGTTGATGTGCGCTTCAGCGAGGAGGGTCGGGTTAGTTCGTAGCACCCATTCTTGCCGCTACTGGCACTGCCGCCTCCGGCCCCTGGGGAGGGCAAGGCCAGCAGGGACTGACAATGGGCCTCCCTGGTGGCGGCACCTCCGGTCGGGCCGCCCGGAGCACAAGTTTCGCTGTCGCTGAGCATCATGTCGTGCAGCTCCTTGGCTATCGTCTGGTTGGAGAAGGTGCGCGACGTGGCATGCCTCTGCCGCTGCTGTTGGGCTCCCGCCGAGCTGTGCAGCTCCTGCTCGGACAGCTCGTTCTCCACGTCCGCCGCCGTGTATCGCTTGAATTTCTAGACACGCAAAGTGCACAAGGCGGTTAAGTCAATGCGGATGATAAATAACTAAAATGAAGTCAATGTGCGGCAAAAGTCGAGTGAAAGTGGGAAGGGAAAGTCGAGGACTTGGAAGAGTCTTTAAAAAGTCTATTAAAACTTGAGGTTACTGTTTAAGGTGAACATTAAATAAGCCACACTTAAAACCTATACTATCTATGTAGTCTTATTTGGCTGGAAGGTTGCACTAATGCTATTATTTGCTCAATGTTTGTATCCTAAATCAATTAATAGTTTGCACTTTAAAGTTTTAATGCAAGGGCTTATTTTATTAATTAAATTTTATAATTTAATTTTCCAGAATATTGCTACGCCTCTCCAAGGATAAGCTACGATAATGTGATTAGCTTGTGCAGAGCTTGTGAGTTTCTTCGACTCACAGAGAAATCTTGTAGACAAAATTTCAGAGCTTTAATTCAGTTAAAGCGAATTATAGGCTTATTTAAGTCTGCAACTTTGTAAAACAGGCAGTGTGTTCAGAATTTGAAGTACCCTTTAAATTCGTTAGGCCTTATTTGAACAGGGAATGAATACTGCCAGGCAATTGCCTTTGTTACTCCATTTTTCAAATCAGTTCTGTACATAAAAAGTGAAATTAAGCTGATTTAGCTACTCAGGTGAACGGAGGGGCGCCAATCCCCGAATCGCATTAAATTTGATAGCTGAAAATTCGGAGCAGAGAGCCATTAAAAAGCCAAGGCCGTATTGTAAAAGTTGCAGAATGCTCGTTGGCCGGACAAACGGAAGTCCGACGACGCCATGCCAGGGTATGGACCAGTATGGATGGCATGCCATGGTATGGTATTTAAATCTGTGTAAGCTCCTGGCATTTGGGAATTATGAAACAAACGTGCCGCAGTTTGTTTCGTACGTGGAGTGGACTTTAAGCCGGTGTGGGCCGGAATAGAGAATAGAGATGACTTTGGGGCAGAAACAGGAGCTGCACAGCGCAGTTGCTGTTGCAGCTGCAGTGGTTTCCGTATTTGAGCTTTATGTTGGTTTACTACAACTACCATTATAGGGGGCTGTGATGAGGAGGTTGGAATGAGAATGGGCTACCTGGTGGCGGAGCTTACCTTGTTGTGAACACTTATGTCGGTCATATTGTCGTGCCTGGATGCAATGACACAGGAAATTCTTGCATACACATAAATCATTACTGCCATTGGTATGAAAAAGGAGCCCATGGCCGAGAAGATGACGTAGCCCTCGTTTTGGTTGTACCGGCACTCCCGCAGATCCCTCCGGCCCGGTTCGTACCTGCAGGAAACAGAAACACCAAGCACAAATACAATTAATTACAACCGACTCGACTAATGCAGGAAGTTGGCAATTATTTGCCTCCGCATTGTGGCAACAGCAGCAGCAGCGGCAAAGACAATTGCCACCTAATTATATTCGTTTGTTCTGGGCCCGACTTGGTGACCCGCCAGAGTTCACAAATTTGCATGCACTCAACGCAAAATAGTACGGCCAAGATGGCCAAGAATTTCTAACCAAGCCATTTATAGCCGGGCGTAAAACATTTACAGACCATAGTACTTTTTCTTCCAAAGGAATCCAACATAACTGACAGCTAATTATCCTGGGAAGTCAGCTGTCAGGTCCTTGGAATTAGCCTGCACAAGGCAAAATTTACCCGCACCGATGCTTGAAATTGCAATTAAAGCTACGACCTCATAAAGGATAGATGTAAACAATTTTATGATAAAATCAATAAACGTTTTGCTTGGTCTATTTTCGAGCTTTTTATATATTATTTACTTTCTATTATTGTTCTTGAAAATGTTATTGCCTTTTTCCATCACAAACGAAAGAGTTAAATGGCCTCATAATTTGAGTTCTTTGTTCAGTTTAATGAGAGGCCAAATAATTATGTCTATATATTTTTAATTCTTTAATAAATTCTAATTGCAGAATTTCTCAAGTGTACTTACCATCCCAAAATGGGTGGACAGGTGATGGCAAGGGCCAAAAGCCAGACGATTAGGATCATGATTAGAGCCAAGCGTTTGGAGCGCCGTTTACGGGAGTACGTGAGCGGCCTGGTCACGGCCAAGTATCTGTCGGATGAGCGGGAAAGATTTACGTTAGGGGCGAATTCCCAGAACCGGAACCAGGGTATCGCACTCACCTGTCCACACTGATGGCGCAGAGGCTGAGAATCGAGGCCGTGCAGAGGAGCACGTCGAGGGAGATCCAAATGTCGCACAGCACCCACCCGAGTTGCCACGAGCCTGCAATCAGAATACCAAATTAAAAACTTTCACGAGCCGTAGCCGAGCCAAGGAGCCAACTTAAAATTCCGGACCAAAGTCAATTTGATTAGCAACATTTTGCTTGGCTTTCAGCAAATGCCTCACCTTAGGCCAATTAAACAGGCCGTAGGATCACAAATTTTGGCAACGGCCCGGCCCTATGCACATAAGCCACGTTAGTGGTTTCCTCCGGTCTGGTCCACTTCCAGCAGCAACTGGACCGCCTCAACTTTTAACTCTTCGCCTAGGCATCGAAATTGTGGGCACTTTGTGCTGATGCTGAACAGTTGCTCCCCGTCTGCGGCCTGTCAACCGATTAATTTTTTAATCAAGTACCCCACAATGGTCTCGGAGCGCCAAATGAAAAGTTGTTTTTGTTTCAAGCTCAAGGAGCAAGCTCATTAGGATGGCCAGGGAAAAGATTGCCTTTTGGGCAGCACACACTTTGTTAGTTTCAATATAAGGATGCAATTTCGTTCAATGTGTTAGCTTGACTTTAGAAGTTTTGAAGATATTTTTAGCCAAGTTAATAAGGCAGTAAAACAGAAAGTACAGGATGAAGGATTTGTAATTATTTGACTTGTTAATATATGCTTTGCAAACTTCTAAATAAAAAAGGTACATATTTTACATAACGTCAGCTGAAGAACTTTTTTAAAATAGAACTTTTCCAACAAAATAACAAAACAAACATACCGTGTTGTTTTTCTCGGGAAATTGTTAACTGGAAAAAGCCTTGGGGCAGTTATAATTAAGGTCGAGGTCCTTGGCAGGAAATTAAAGAGAGTCAACTTTTTTATATACCCTAATTCATTTTCATGAAATAAATCAAAAATGTCCTCTCAAAGGAGTAAGCCTGCCATTACCCCATAGCTTTTTTTTGGTTGAAAATCCAAGGTGGATCAACTATTTTGTATAATTCGTCCCATTTTCAAAATGTCAGCGAAGCGGATGATTATGACAAACTTTCGACATGCCGCAGCCTTTAAAGAATGCCACAAAGTTAGGCTCGGGAATGTTGCCTTTTTCGGCTGTTCGTTTCCTATATTTTCTGGATTTTTTTCGCCAACTGAGGAAATTGCATAAAGGCCGAGGCAAAAAATGAAAGAAATTCTTTCGGTTCAAAGAATACAAATCCATAAGGCGAGAGAGATACATACTCGCATATTCCACCTAGCAGCATTTACATAAATATGTGGGGCGTGGACTCCGCCTCTTCCTGACACGCCCCCGCCCACCGTTTTTGTTCCTGTTCGTGTTCCTATTTCAGTTTCTTCTGCTTTGTTATTTTACACATGAAAAAAATATGATAAGTTCTACCAAGATTAAAAAAAAGAATTTTTGCTATGAATAAAAATGGAAACTATTTTAAGAAGAAACCTAAAATAATTCCAGGCTCCAAAAATATACCTCTATTTTAGGAATATGCATTCCTATAATTTTTACCTTTTTTTAGATCTAATATAAAAAAAACCTAAGTCCAAAATCAAATAATACGAGACATATTCTCTAAAAAATACCTCATTGTTCTCATTTAAGTTTTCCAAAAACTGAAATACTTAATTTTTTAAAATATTTATATCATCAAGAAAGTTTCCCGAAAATAAAACTTTTGTTGATAATAATACCTTTTCTTTGATTTGAAATTCTTTGTAAAATTCTTTTGAAAAACACTCTTTAAACAAAAACACTGTGGTGTTTCTAGTGTAGCCTGCAGGGTGTTGGGCGAAAAGCTTTTGTTGGCAATTTTTTGAGGGATTTACCGGAATGGCATCTTCATCTTCTAATCACGCGAAAAGCCCGGCAAACGCTGCCTACTTTCACGGAAGCACTTTAATCGCAAAACCCGAGCGGAAGGACTCACCTATGAGGTGGACGGCGACGGCGGGGGGCATCACGAAAATGCCAACGAGGAGGTCGGCCACCGCCAGACTCATCACGAAGCAGTTGGTAATGGTGCGAAGACGACGCGTGGTCAGAATGGCCAAAATCACCAGGGTGTTGCCAATGACGGTGACCACAATGAAGGTAGCGAAGACGGCGATCAGGCAGATGCCCTGCCAGGAGATCACCAGGTCGTAGAAGTGGGCCCATTCCGTGGCCGCCGCCGATTCGTTATAATAATTAAAGGTGGTAACGGACGGGCCGGGTGTGTCGGTGGGCGGCACTGTCGTCTCGTTTGCGACACCACCTTTCGGCCCTCCGCCACCAGTGCCATTGGCCGTGGCGAGAAGGTCCTCGTAAACGATGGATATGTTCTCCGGCAGTCCCAAGTTGCCGCCTGCGGCAAGCGACGAGGCAGCCACATACATGAGCGACGGATAAATGGCGCTTAAATTATTCAGCTGCAGGTTGACAGCCATGGATCGGCCTATTGGGTCCGCACTTGTGGTCCGGTCTGGCCGCTCTAAGCCCTGTTCGGGGATCGGGGGACATATCCCTGAAACTGGTGCGGCTCCTGGTTCTGGCTGAGGTCCTGGCAATGGCACGGGCTCGGCCCAACTGTTGTCATTGTATCGAATTGCTGTTTGATGTCCTGGCTTCTCGTTCGGTCGGCTGCAGTGAAGGGAAAAAGTGGCATTTCATGAGAATTTAAAGACACTAAGAAAAAAGTTTGCTTAAAATGAAGTTATTTAATTCTTAAACATATATCCTATTCACCCTCCCAAATAGAGTAACAGCTATTTATTTATAAAAAGGTTTATTTACTTTTACAGGATTTGATGTTTATTTTGGGTTGAAAGGATCTGTGGGATTTTAGAACTTAACTGCCTGTTTGCAATAAAATATACAAGATTAAATGTGAATAAATAAAGTGAATAAAGTCTCTTTCTATATACTCTTTAAGTAAATATTTATATTTTTTAATTGATTACCCGGAATGATTTACTTTATTGATAACATTAAAATACTCATTCACATGTTGCCAGGCTATTAGTCCAAATATTCAAATAAATACACAAAAAAACATAAACAAATTTAGAAGCGTTATTCGCAAAACAAAAATCTCTCCATTTATTTTATTTTAGCTTGTAATAACAATAAATTTACACGAATTTCTGTACTACAATGTAGTAATAACACACGCTTTTGCTGCGGAAATTGTATTGTAATTTAGTTATAAGGAATTTCAAACAAGAATTCCTTTGTTTCAAAAAGGCATTCAGAAAAAGTTGTATTTATTGTAAAGTAATTTGTTGGCCAATAAAGATTTGTTTATGATTGAATTCAAGACATGCAATTAATTCTAAAAGAAAGATTCAAGAAGAATTGAGTATTAAAGTAACTTTTTTTGACAAATCTGAGTTTCCTTCGGACAAAATAACTTTTCCTCACTTATGACTTACTTTTCTTTTGTTGAATTAAAAATTGATTTTAAACTCGATTTTGTTCTGTGTGCCTGCAATAGGTTTCGGATTATTTAGCGTCTCCGCTTGCTGATGCCTAGATGCCTGGGGTGTGTGGGGGATACCCCTTTACAGAATGATTGTCATCCATCTACGAAATGGGCAATTTATCACCGAAACTTTTCCACTATTCCGCGACCCTCCACGTGCACTCCGGCGATAAGATTGATAATCGACAAGCGCTTTATTAGATTTCCGCACAAATTATGTATATGGCAATGGCAATAGCTACTCGGCTATGGCCATTCGACTATGTCTATGGGAACGGCAGAAAAATACGCCGGAATTGCGACGTCCCCCACGGCGGATGAGTGTTGACTGAGAGCGGCGACAGAACACGGCAGACCAAATGGCAAAACAGCAAGCTGGGCTGCCAGTTCGACACTTCTTGCCACTTCTGTTGACAATAATTTGGCATTAAGTATTATTTATTTAGCCGCCGATAGTGCGGGCCAGCCGTTTGCGATTCCTTTCTTGGTTCTCCGGGTATACGGGTGTACGGGAGTGTGTGGGTGCGATAAGCAAATTAAAACCGATATCGCAATAGACAAGGTGGCGGTGGTGGGCAAGGCACCGAAAAGCAAAATACCAAAGTTAAATCAGCGTCGGAATCCGAAATGAATCCGAATCAGAATAATCTACGTCAACCCGCAGGCAAATGAATTTTTAGCGAAAAAAAGAAGGAATTATGTAGCAACGAAATTTGCATTTTATAATAAAAAAGAGGGAGGAACACAAGCATAATATTATGAGAACGGAAATGAGAAAGCTATGAATGATATGTTTTACATGCCAGGCTTTTAATGTTCCAGCAGAAACTATTCAAAAGATGGTATTGCTCTTCAAAGGCTTACGTCTCGACCATTACTTAATTTTAGCCAAAAATATTTTTTATCTACTTATTCTACGCTTTGACGTTTCTCTTTATTTTAATCATGAGCTTTTCCATTAGAGCAACGCTAAGTGAGTATTTACATTTAATTTACATTTAAGCTATTTAAACAAACAAATTATCAAGTTTAAAGCACACTCTAACAACCTATATTTATTTTACCCAGAACCCTAATGTGTTTAAGTATTTTGAACATTTTCCATAAAAAGTTTTGCCCTTTTATATAATTAAATTTAAATTATTAGCTTGTATTTTCTAAAAGTAGTCTCTAAAATTTAATGAAAGCTACTCTAATTAAATGGTAAAAATTTGTACTTTTTTTAAACAAGAAGTAAGAGCAATTGGTTTGTGAACAAATGGAAAAAAGCTGTTTGTTTGACTTTGGCTCTTCAAGTGGCTTAAATAATGCACAAGCTAGATATTATAAATTGATTTTTGCAGTTAGGGTATCCACTGGTGCGATGACCCTTCCTTCCTATAGTCATATTTTCAACACTGACGCGAAAAAGTCATAAAAGACCTTATCGCTCACATGATAGCAATCTGGCTGGAGGCGAAGTGCTTGGAAGGGAACTTTTACTTTTTTATGTTCTGGGTTATGTGTAAATATTTGCCCCAATGCCTAGTGACGTACTCAAAAAAGGTAAAACTGATTAATTAGATACGATGCAAAGCCCACAGCAGTCAGTCAGGGTTAAAGTATTGATCGAGCTCGATGTTCGGAGGAATGTGTCACCCAGTTCCGATAAAATGTGACATTCTACGGCCGCAATTTGGGCATTTCTTATATACACACTTACGGAATCTAGAGTGTCCAATTGGTAGCGGTGGAAATCAAGTGTATAGTACACTGAAGGGGTTTTATAACAAAAATAGATTTATGAACTCATTCCGCCGTATGTGGTCGGGATTCCGGCCAGCGGCTTTGGGTCCGCGATCAGAGGGTGCGGGAAAGCCTTTGTCCGTGATAAGACCTGGCGTTTTTATGAGCACTTTGATTGATAATCTAATTCGCAACTCAATTGCAAACTTGGCACGAACACTGCCCCCTCTAATCTCGGGGCTTGGGTCTTGGGTCTTTGGCCGTTGCCCGTTGCCATTTTTGTTCCTATTTCCATGACAATGGCCGCAATCAGGCCGAAAGCTTTACCCTTTACCCGGCCGTGGGCCGGCTAGGGGCTGTCTTGGATAAACTATTTCTTCAAAGGCTGCAAATTGAGTTGCCAAATCCAATTACTTGTGCGGAGTGGCACTTTGTGTTTTGTGCCATCCCCAAAATCCAAAATTATGACATCAATTAGAAATTGATGCCGAAGTGGAAAATCTTGATTGACTTTGGCCCGATCGGGGCGTCCGATTTTTGGCCATACATATGCTATTTCCGGCACTCATCTCCGGCACTGGATCCACTGAACGCCCATGGAAGATTTATTTCACACTGAAAGTTCACAGGCCGGGCCAACAGCAGTAGCAAATAAACAATAGTGGTCGAGAGCTCTTTGTATACATATTTACATATGCTGGCTCTTCGCATTGCACATATTTTTTAAGAGATTTTCCAGCGTTTGCTTGACAGCTGGTGGCCTTCACCTTATTCCGTTTTAATTGACCAAGCCCCCCATTTCATTAGGCGATATTAGGCGAGATGTCCGAAATTCCGACTGTCTCGGCCAGAAGGGCATTTTAAGTGTTGCGATTGCAAGGCCAGCTGAAATGACTTTAGCAAGAAATAGTTTTTGCCAGTTTTGGGATGCTTGAATTCTTTTTTTTTTCGTTTGCCACCTACGCAAAAGGAAAAAACTGCTGAATTCCGTCAAATGCTCTTTTTTCCGTTGCATCCCATTCGTAGCAGCACCCTGCTTTCCGGCACAGCTTCCGCAATTGTTTCGCTGAGCATTTGTTGCAATTTGCGGCCAACATGGCGTATGTGTAATGTGCAACTCTGGAATAATATATCATTTGCATTCGACGGGGGGGCGTGTGCTCAAGCGGTAGTGTCTGTCTGTCTTTGGGTCTGTGTGTGTGCGACAGGAAGCCTGTCTCTGACGTCAATGTCAGTGACAAACAGTCGCACAATCAACCTCTATAAGTAACTATTTATTGAAACTGTCAGACACTTATTTGTCCTCTTTATTTGGCAGTCGAATCGGAGGTGTTTAGCGTGAAAGCATTTGTCCATTACCCGCTCCTGATCTATGCAAATGTCACCCCGCAGGACGAGGGACGGGAATGGCCTCGGCCTCAGCCGGAGAGAAGGGTCCTCCTACAGGAGGGCACTCCTGAAGAGGGTCCTCATCGCGCTGTTTACTTACTTAATGCAATAGCTTTTCTGCAGGGTCCTTCTCCTACTGCTCTCTGCTTTCACATCAAAACATTTCGCATTGTTTTATTGACACAGAAACTTGTTATTATTTATACTACTCGTAATAATATTATTGTTGTTTGTTGTTTCTTATTTGTTTATTTTTTTTTTTTTGTTTTTTGTTTTTATTTAGCTAGCCACTGAACGACTGGAAGCACTAAAGTGGGCCAGGACCCTATTTAATTTGCAACTTTGTCAAGGGTCGAGTGTCGAGTGCACTTTTATAGCTGCAGCTGAAGAGAAGGAACTGTTTGCAATTGAATCACTGTTTATAATTATTCTACGATTGTATTTTTAGCGCTGTGACGAACCACACTCGGCGCCCTCAAATTCAAATTTACGTTATCGGCCGAACAGGTAAGCCGCCGGCTGATCAATCGCTCTTCGATTCAGGTTCGGTTTCTGTTTCAGTTTCGGGATTTCAATTAATTAGAGACTCCGATGGATGGCTCTACGATGCGACCGCTTCGGTTGAGCGCCTGAGGAAAACTGACAACCGACTCGGATTCTGAATCGAAATCGGAATGGGACTCGGATGCGTCCGTAGAATCGTGCCTGTCGTTGCGCTCGGCCGTATAAATAGTAGGTAAGTAGTATCCCCGTCCGCCTGGCTTCCAACGAATTGTGGATCCCAAGTTTCCGTGCGGGCAGCAAACACGCGACTTTTGAACCCAGCGCGGGCGGTAATCCTGGCGGAGGCCCACGCCGTATTTAAACAATTGTGCAAACAACTCGCAAAAATTTGAATATTCAAACTGCTCGTGCCAGTGCGAAGCCCAGTTAATTCCAAGAACGGTGTTTAATTAAGCTGACTGGTTGGGACTACATAGCATTCGAGGGAAAGGAGAAGACTCCACGTCCGATAAGAGAACTGCGTATCCCCCGGGTCCAGCCGATGGATTTTACGAGAATTTCTAAATGAAAACATAAACGCTTTCGCGGGTACTCAGGAAATCTAAATTAAGACTTTTATGGGAGCCTTGTAGACAAACGAGCAGATATAGCAGATATAGCCATACAGCAAAACGTGCACAAACGGTACTGGCTCTATCTATAAGAATATGATTATAGCGCTGTGGTCGTGTGTGTCGGGGGCTATTGTTTGTACATTTTATAACTTGCAGATGCGTCTCCACGCGAATATCGCAAATGCTATTACTACACGCTCATAATGAATAGTGTCAACAGCTGCTAACACCGCTTATTCTCACCGCCAAAAGGTTAAATTTGGTTTATTCGATTGCCTTCCACAATCCACAGGTTCACTGGCCAAGGTGAATGCGTTCCCGTTCCCACTGATTCCACACCCATACGGCCTATGGATTGTAAACAAAGGCATGCGCCTTGATAACGGCATCTAAGCCGTAGTTTCGGTCGGAACGAGTGGTAATGAAACACATTAAGCGCCATTTCTGGGTTTTCAAACTCAGACATTATCCTAAAAACCTATTTAATAATTAGCCTTAACCTAGAAGATATAAAAACTAGTCCAACATCCTCGCCAAACCAATTAATGAAAATAAACATTAAATAAAACTTTATTACCACAATCCATTATCAAAAGTCTTTAAGGCCAAAAAAACAAACTTTAAATCTATGCTTAACACCCTTTATTGATAATCACATTAGAAAAACAATTATTATTTTTTTTATGTTAGCCAAACAACTTGTGTGCTTTTGAAAAATCGCTCATACGACATGTGTGCATAATTTTTTTTATTTTACTACAAATGCTTTTCCCCAATTAATTGTTTTGAAGAACTTTTAATGTTTTTTTTAGAATTTTAGAAGGTGTTATTTTATGAATTGTTAATTCTTTTAAGAATTTGCATTCTGTTGAGAAAACGTTCTTCCTTTTAATATTAAATGGACTTCTCTTTTTCATAAACACCAAACGCATGTAACTTAATAGAGTTTTTTTATATTTTGTTTAATTTCGTGTGTATCATTAAAACTCAAATACTTTCTCGAAAAATGCATAAAAGAAGAAAGTATACAAAATGGTGTCTGCGTCTAGCATCCATCAGATTT